ATATTTTTTAATAATATTTTTAGTAAAGGTGTTGACAGAATTTTTATTATTAAATAACTATCGATTAAATTTAAATTATAATCAATATTTTTAATAATTTTTTTTACATATTATTGATTTTATATTGAACTCTATCAGTTTATCGATTTGGATTTTATATTAAAATTTTTATTAAATTATTTTTAATAAAAAACTTTACAAACTTCACCTAAAGAACTTTATGTAAGTTTTGTCCACTAACAAAAAAACTCATGTAAAGAATAAAAAAAAGAGGAAGTCACTTAGAAATTTAGAACTTTAATTTTGATTGACTTTTCTTAACTCATTGAATTATATGAGTGTTTATACTTTTCAATAAATGAATTTAAATTCAAAATATTAAATACAAAAGACATTAAGAACTAGGTGCATTCAACTACATACATTTACTTAAAATTAATTAGGTTCATAAATATTTTAGATTTATAAATAACTAAATTTATAAATGGTTAGATTCATGATACATTGTTTCAAGTTTAATTTCCAACAAATATTTCATTTTCATTCATAAAAAGAAGTCAAATGACTTAATATGTGGAATCCTCCTGAGATTAAGTGAGTATAAAAAAATATAATATAAAAATTATTTATTAAATATATAAAAAATAAAAGAAAAATGAAAAAAATAAACATGTGATATACTATTGGTATAAATGGGTTTTAAAAAAATAAAATATAAAAAACTATTTTTTAAATATTTAAAAAAAAGTTTAAAAGGATAAAATAAAAAAAGTAAAAAAGAAAGTTTGGTACAAGTGAGTTCCAAATATAAAGAATAAAATTTTTTTAAAATATATTCTTTTATCATTTTAAAAAATATTTATTAAATAATTTAAAAGAAAAAGTTAAAAAAGCAAAAAGAAAAAAAATTAAAAATTAAAAAAAAGAAAATGACACATGACACATGACAGCTACTGTTGACCGTACATAGCTCAAGTGAGTGCTACAAGAGAATAAATATAAAAAAAAAAAAATTTATTAAATATTTTTTAAAAGTTTCATCAATAATAGATCCTTTGTAGTTCTATAAATCCCCGAGAACTGTATCTGTCTGTAACCAAGATTGTCAGTGTGTCACCAATGGCAGATTTACCAGCAAGTGGAGAAACTGCATTCCGAACGACATTAGGCCGCTTTGGTAATATAAATCTTGATGATGAGGCAGATGGGTCATCATCAATGACCAATGCAGAAGGTAAGCAATTAAGGCAGTTGGGTATATCATATATACTAACTACTCTTTAATATTTTGAAAATTGAAGCTACCAAAGATTTGATTTCTTAGTTCTTATATCTGAAATTAAGATTACAGTTTTTGGCTATAGCTACTCTTTTATTAGTACTCAGCAATATATATTTTCCTTCTTAAAGCGACGATAAGGAATCTAATAGAGATAAAGAAGCGGGAGGAGGGCAACGTGGAGCTGGATCTTGATAAATATGAGGAGCTTTGGAAGGCTATAGTAACTGAAGATTGGAAAGAAGTGAAAAAGCAATTGGACTTACTTGGCAATCATGCTCTTACATCTCCAATAACAGCCTTTTATGAGACAATTTTGCACATTTCGGTGAATTCGGAGAAAGCCCTGTGGATTGTAGAGGAAATTGTTCGGAAAATTGACGCAGCCTCACTCGGGAAAACCGATTATCACCGTGACACTGCCCTGAGCAACGCAGCCTATGTGGGCAACACTAAAGCTGTGAAGATGATGGCCCTCAAGAACCCAGACTTGCTGAAACGGGTTAACGACAGTGGTGATTCTCCATTCCATGCTGCTGCCAGGTTTGGGCACGAGGAAACGATTCGCTGTCTGTTATCAGTGGCTGAAACAACTCAAATGGATGACCAGAGCTTCTTCTCCGGTGATAATGGTGCTACGTTCGTCCAATATCTGATATCTGCAAATCTCTATGGTAAGAGAAACTCACCCCCTCCATGATGTTGAATTTTCGTCAAAACAAATATATATTATACTATTGCTTTTTCTAGTAATATGGCCGACAAGATCAAAATTTTATTTTTAAAATACTTCTCTATCTCTTTACCAATTATATTAACTCTTATGAGTTACATTTATGATATTAATTATTGATGAATAATTTTGTATTTTCATTTGTGTTCCCTAGCAAATATTAATTATATTAATTATATTTGTATCTACAGATCTAGCTCTTGCTATGATAAAGCGGTATCCAAATTTATATCGTGATAATTTCAAACAAAGGAAAAGAATTCTAAACCAATTGGCTAAAAAACCTCTCGGATTTGAAAGTGGATGTAAGTTTACATTTTTGGATCGCTTGATCTATAAAGGTTCGTCTCTTTACATTCATATCAATCCATTTACTAATTTTTTATTCATTTAATTTGTATACAAATGAATGCATATTTTGTTTAATTCTTTTAAATCTAGATTTTGGTAAAAAAAAGAAAAATAAAATAAAATAAACCTAATATCTATTTGCCCATTAGACTTTATGTGCAATATTTTTTTATACCTTCTTTAGCTTGCATCTTCTTTTTATACTTGGATCCTTGAGCAAGTCCATCAATCTTTGATTTTGATCAAGTGTGGATGATAAGAAAAATAAATTTAGTTTGTTTCAAACCAAGTCTCAGTCCATTTTGGTCTGATTTGGGTCTAATACCAATTCAATTGGTTTTGGAATTGAAAATCTAATTTTCTTTTGTGTTGGAGTCCCTCTAAAATCAATAATCAAATAAAATCAATCATTTATATGAATGTAGATATGCAATGTAATCAAAGTATAAGTTACCATGCCTTAACTCTAATATTTATATATAAAAAAAAGATACAATTTAATTATATTTTTTTTAAGTTAAATGTTCATTTGTTTTCCGAATTATAGTATTTTTATCAATTTGCTACTTAAAAAATAAAAATTCACAATTAGATATTTAAAGTTTATTTTCGTTAGACAAATTATATCGTTGACTATAATAAAAATGTGTCAAATGTTATGTTATTTTATTTTAAAATTATTATTTAAAAAAATGCAAAAATTTAAAAATAAAATATAAAAAATAAAGAATTTAAATTTTTTATTTTTTATTTCTTAATTTTTTGAAATTAAAAAAAATTTTGAAATTTTGAAAAAAATTAAAAATTCATTTTTGAAAAAGTATATTTTTTCTTAATTAAAATTTGTGAACTTAAAATAAATTTTTTTGAAAAAGTGAAACCAAAAAACAAAAAATATATTTTTTACTTTTAATTTTTGAAGTAAAAAATCTAATTTTAAAAAAACAGAAAAGGAGTGTAGGGAGAGAGCAAGAGAAACGGGAAAGGGCCAGATCAGTAGCCGATAGACCCTCTCCGTACCCCTTGTTCCCTTCTTGTTCCCCCTATCCTTTCCCTTGCATCTGGCTGACCAAATTTGTTGTTTATCGGTCGTGCCCTTCCCTCTCTTTCTTTCTTTTCTTTTTTTCTCTCTCCTTAACAAAAATAAAGTTTGAGTATATGACCACGAATTTTTATTCATTAAATATCAAAACCACATAACCCATAGAGTTATGAGAGCAAATTAGTATTTAAAGGTTTTTGTTTTTTCAACATCTCTTCTAATCTTGACATGCAGACATTTCAATAACAAAAAGATATCACATGTCATGTTATTTATTTTTTAAATATTATTTTTAAATGAAAAAATTCACAAAGTAAAAAAATTAAATTAAGAAATTAAATTTTTACATTTAAGAAACAAAAAAATGGTTTTCTTAGAATTTTTATTTTGAAATTAAAATAAAATTTTGGGAAATTTTGAAAAATAAAAATATTTATTTTTGAAAAATACATTTTTTTTCTTAAAATTTTTGAAATTGAAACAAAAATTTTTGGAAAAATAAAATAATATTTTTACTTTTAATTTTTGAAATAAAAAAATTAAGAAATTTTTAAAAATCTATTTTTAAAAAAAAATAATAGAAAGGGGTATTGAGAGGGAGAGAGAAAGGAAAGGTGAGGCCCAATTTTGCATTTGGTGTGGCAATTGTAATCGTATATCATAATTTTATTCGTTGTATTTTAGGCCACCTTAATTTATTGTTAATAGAATTAGTGTTAGAAACGATTTACTTAACAAAAGTAAATTTTGAGTAAATGATTGCCAATTTTTATTCTTTATTCTTCAAATACTAGAAACGAGAGAGGTGATACATTTGTGTAGGGTCGGCAATCCGACCCGCTTTCGACAGGTTCGGATATGACCCCATCTTATAGGATTGATTTTTTTTTTTAAATCAAATTTTGAGTCGGGTCAAATCAGGTAAAGTTAAAAAAAAATTGGGGTTGGGTCGGGTTTGGATTTTAACCAAACCCAACCCGATATTATATAAAATTATTTTTTAATTATTTATTTAATTTTTATTTATATATATTTATATAATTATATATTTAAATATTTATATTTAAAAATAATATTTTATATTTTTAAAAAATAATATTTTATTAATTTCGGGTCGGGTCAGGAATGATTTATGTAATATCGGATCGAATTTGAATATGAAAAAAATAAAAAAAATTTCGGGTTGGGTCAGATTCGAGATAAACAAAAACATGCCCCGACCCAATCTGTTACCATCCCTAGATTTGTGAAGACAAATTAATAAATAACTTTTTTTTCTCTTCTCTCCTATCTTAATTTGCAGTTATTTCGGTGACAAAGGAAGTTACTGTTACATCCACTCAGCTCAAAAATGATGATTTCCTGCCTATTAATATTGTTGATAGAGATAGAGAGAATCTTACAAATCAGGGAAGGGAACATATCAAGAGCTCAATAAATTTTTTTGAGCAGTGTAGACGACTAGCCTTTTTTATAGTTTGTTTAATCAGTAATTCTCTCACTTAATTAGATTTATTGATTTTTTTTTCACCAAATTAGCACATAATTCTCTTTAATTAATATTGAATAAAATTTTTGTCTTTTTTACCTGTTGAATGGCAGTTCCAAGGGTTGAAAGCATTTATAAAACCAAGTTGATGAATGAGCAAGCTCGTCAACTCGTCAAATCAATGTGCACTGGAGTTGTCTGGACATTCGACAATGCCTCAGATACACTAAAGCCGCCGATTTTGAAAGCTGCAAGTTTGGGGATTCGAGAGATAGTCGAAGAAATTTTACAAGTATACTCATCTTCATCAATGTTCTATGACGATAACAATTATAATATTTTTCAGCTTGCAGTTTTACATCGCCGAGAAAAAGTTTTCAATTTGATCTACAAAAGGGGTCTATCCCAAAAATGGGTTGCAAGTTATCCATGCAAGAACAAAGAAAACATAGTTCATTTAGCTGGTAGGTGCATACCTTCAACGCATATTAATGGTGCCGCTTTGCAAATGCAGTGGGAGATGCATTGGTTCAAGGTAATAGATCTTTACTAACTTAAGGAGTAATATAAATTACATTATACATTTACAATTTTTGTATAATATTTCATATCTATCAGCGATGTTTAAATTTTAATTTTTGGATTATCACTTTTGAATATGTTGTTTTAAGTTCATCCATTTTCATCAACTGTCTTTAAAATATGATAAAATTACGGTTGATGAGATAGATGAATTTAAAATTTTTTAAAATATTGTGATTCAAAAATTAAATTTTAAAAATTGTGAATGAAAAATAAAATATTGCCTAAGATAATTGATGATTTTACTTTCAGCTTAAGAGAATCAAACCAAATATATATTAGCATTTTATATGCATGAATCAATATCATTTAAACATTTAAAATTTTTGGTCATGGTGGAGTTAGAATAGTGTTTTGGCATTATAATCTTCCAATTTCTTACATGAAAACTTCTTCAATTGGTCTTACCATCGTTTGGAGAGTGGATTAGGCATGCAAAACCTGCAAATATGTTAACCATAATTTTTTTAAAAAAAATTTAATATGAATTCTTTTTTTCTTCCATAGGCAGTAGAAAGTTTCGTCCATCCATCACTCTCGGAAGAACAAAACTCTGGGAAAAAAACTCCAAGAGAAGTGTTTGATGATGAACATAAGGATTTGGTGAAGGAAGGGGAGAAATGGTTGAGGGACACTGCCACATCATGTATGGTTGTGGATGCACTAATCATCGCTATGGTGTTCGCAGCAATAATTGCTGTACCAGGAAACAACGAGAAGGGAATACCAAACTTAAGGCATGAAACTATCTTCAAAGTCTTTTTCATGGCAGATGCTGCTGCACTCTTTTCTTCTTCTTTTTCATTATTGTTGTTCGTGCGAATCCTGACTTCACGATATGCCAAAGAAGATTTTCTTGAAGCCTTGCCAAAGAGGTTACTTTTGGGTCTTGTGACCTTAATTTTTTCCATAGCGGCCATGTTGGTAGCCTCCAGTTCAGCCTTGATTATGCTCATAGATGCAGTACCTGGTCCTAAGGTGATGCTTAGAAGTTCGACTATCATTCCAATGACTATAATGGCTGCTCTTCCAATTGTCTTCTTTATATGGTCACAATCTCATCTCCTCATCGAGGTCTTTATGTCGACTTATTGGCCTACTATTCGTTACTAAAAAGGATGATGATTAAGCAATTCAGTGGGCAGTATTCTATTCCCTGTTCCTTTGCTTGTTTTACAGTAGTTAAACTTTTTTTTTTTGGTACAGAGGATGGGCATAGTCCACGGGAAGGGAGGACGTCTTGGTTCCAAACTAAAATCTTTATGTTTTCCTAAGAGCTCTTTTAGTTATTAGACCAAGAAGCTAAGGACTCATACTTAAACTTTACTTCTTCAGTTTGAATAATATTTAGTGTGAATTTGATCCAATTTTATGATGATTTATTACTCGAGTTTATATTTATTTTTAAGGGTAAGTTAACTTTTAATTTTGTTCATTAGTTCATTAACAATGTGCCACCATATGGGTGCCTAAAAGTGTATGTAAAACTTGTATATTGTTGTCAAACATTTGATGCTCCATCATAAATTATTCTTATACACTGAAAATGTATTGTATGATATCATTTTATTAATTAATAAATTTAAAAGATTAAGAATCTTAAAGATAAAAATTAAAAATTATATAATTGAATAAAAGTAATTATTAAAATTTTTATCTTTTAAGCATTTTAATTTTTTTTAAAATTAATTAATTAATTAATAAGGTGATAACATATGAGACATTGTTAACGTATAAAAATAATACACTGATAGTGAATTGAATATAAACCCTTATTGCACGTTTGGTTTGCGGAATGTAATAGATGGGAAATGGAACTAGTATTATGTGAAAATAAAAAAATAAGAAGAATAAAATAAAATATGTATTATAAAGTTTGGTTCATTATAATAGAATAGATAAGAAATTAGTATTAATTAATTCAAAGAACATGAAAAGAATTAGTTTAAAAAACCACTTTACCCTTATAATTTATTATCAAAATTATTAATTAATAAAATCAATAAAATATTAGTAATAATTTAATATATTCAATTTTCATTTAATATTATTCAATATTAATTTAATACCATTAAATATTATTGAACAATATTAAATATTAATTTAATCATATTAAATTTCAATTTAATAATATTAAATATTAATTAAATAATATTCAACATTTGCTAATATTTTATATTAATATTAATTTAATAATATTTTAATATAACAATTTTAACATAAAATTTTATTTTAATTATATTCTAATATTAAATATTAATTTAACAATATTTAAAATAAAATATTATATTAATAATACTTTAATATGAAATATTAATTTAATAGTATCTTAATATTATTTAATTAAATTTATAATACTTTATTTTTATTTTGTATTACATATTTAATTATTATTTTTTAAAAATTTTAATAATATTTTAATAATATTTTAATACTAAATAATATTCAATATTAATTTAATATTATTAGCTATTATTTAATAATATTAAATATTATTGAATAATATTAAATATTAACTAATCATATTAAATTTTAATATAATAATATTAAATTTAATATAATAATATTAAATTTTAATAAAATAATTTTAAATATTTTGTAATATTTTGTTATAAATATTAATTTAATAATATTTTAATATTTAATATTATTTTAATAATATTTTAATATTAGGTTTGAAATATTTATTTAAATAATATATTAATATTATGTACTAATTTAACAATATTTCATATCATTTTAATATTAAATAGTGATTTAATAATACTTTAATACTATTTAAATAATTTTATAATATTTTAATGTTATTTTAATATTAAATTTTTAATTTTTAATTTTTAAAATTTAATATCATTTTAATAATATTTTAATATAAAATAATATTTAATATGATTTTAATAATTAATATTACTATAATAATATTTTAATATTATTTTGTACTAAATATTAATTTGTAATATGTTAATATTTAGTGTTCTTTATTATTATTTTAATATTTAATATTTAATATATCTTAATAATTTTGAATATTAAATATTATTTTATTATTTAATATTAAGTTAATAATATTTTAATATTATTTAACAAATGTTATCACTTTTATTATTATTTTAATATTATTTCAATATTCAATATTAATTTAATAGTTTATTAAAATTTTATTATTAAGTTAATAATAGTATCCATGTGATACAAAGAATTGAAAATAGGTGTGCCAAAACATGAGACATTCTGTAAGTGACATTTCGACTAAAAATGAAATTCTTAATTTGAAATAGATAAAAAATACTCCTCTTTAACCATTATATATACTATATTTAAATTTTGAAAGAAAAGTGTAAATGTTTTAGAAATATAAATTTAATATAAATTAAACTAATACATCAAATATATGGAATATTTGATCACATCATTTTCAATATTCCATATATTTGTTATCAACTTTAATATAAATTTGTATTCCATATATTTGCTATTATTTGATGTATTAGTTTAATTTTTTTGTAATTTTGATTCAAATTTTTAATAATCTAAAATCTCTACGAAACTTGAAATATTTACGAATCTAGAACCTTTGTAAAACTTGAAAATTCTTGTCAATCTAAAAATTTTTACAAATCTAAAACCTTTGTGAATTAGAAATCTCTGCGAAACTTGAAATTTTGCAAATCTAAAATCTTTGCGAAACTTGAAATTCTTGAGAATTTGAAAACCTTTGCGAATCTTGAATCTTTGAAAATTTAAAATTATTATGAATTTTTTGCAAATCTTGAAGTCATAGAATCTTTCAGTTCTTGTTATGGAGCTTAACAAATCTTTGAAATTTTGTGAACTATTGAATTTTCAAATTATGAATCTTTGAATTTCAAGATTGTTTTTATTTTTTTGTACCTGAACAAAATGGATGTCTTTTGTCTTTATGCAATTTTTGTTTTATAAAAACTATGTAAAGAGGAGCAACTATAAACACTTCATTTTGTCTAAAATTTTTTCAAGATTGAAAATGGGCTTCGACCATAAAATTGAGCTCAATTAGGAAGCTTCAGGCCCAATAGAAAATTTTTTAATTTTAATTTGATTTGATTTGATTTATTTATTTCATTTAATTTTAATTGTTTTAAAAAAAAGTCAAAAGTAAAAAAAAGGTAAAAAAAATAAAAAAGAGAAATAAAAAAAAAACGAAGGATTTTGGCCTGATTCATGCAAATCCCGTGAAAGGAAAAACTCAAAATCAAATCCTAAATTACAAAATTACAATAAAACCATAATCAATTTGATTAATTTTCCAAAATTAGAGGGATTCAATCTCGATAAATAAATACAAATCACACACAAAGGGAGAAAAAAGAAAAAAATTCAAGGGATCTTAGTTTCCTAGTTTTTTAATTTTGGGAAGAAATCATTCAAGCAAATTCTGAGATTTTTTTTTATTATTTTATTTCATTCTGAGTTTGATTTGATTTGCTTTTGGGTTTCCTAAATTTGGGTTTTAATTTTTAAATTTGATTTCATATTCTATTGAGCTTCTGGAATTTTTGTTGGGGTTTTTTTGTTGGTTTTTTATTCTGAGATTTTTGTTAAGTTTTTAAAAATCTAAAAACTTTTCTAAGTATTTTCTGAGTTTAAGATAAACTTTCCAATTGAAGTTTGAAGTTTTCGCGTGAACCCAGTGACCTATGTGAAGATCCGTGCTTCAAGCCCTATTCAATCACAAGTTTTCTTTTTTCTTTTTCCTTTTTATTTTTTTTATTTTATTTGATTTTATTTTTTGTTTCTCTATTTTTTATTTTATTTTTATTCTCCTATTTTTCGTATTTAAATTTTGCATGTTATATTTTGCCTGATATGATTATATATTTTATTTAATTACATGATTTTTAAAATATTTGTTTGCATGATTTTGTTTGTGTGATTCATTTTTGGATGATTATTAATTAATTTGCATGATATTTTATCTTAATTACATGATAATTTATATTAATTGCATGATATCATATTATTATTGTATGATGTTATATTATTATTTGCATAATATTATTTTTCATGATAATTTTTGTTTTATTTGATTTTTTTAATTTAAAAAGGGAATTAAAAAATAAAAATTTTTAATCTTACTAAACTATTAGAGGATTTAAATATTTAATTAAGTCATACCAAACTATTGGAGGACTTAATGAATTTTTTAAATAAAATAAAATAATACATTTTTAGTCCTAACAAATTATTGGAGGATCAAAATTTTGAAATTAAATCTAACCGAACTATTGAAAAATTTAATGAATTTTCTCAAAGTAAAATTTTATAAATGATTTTCAAATAAAATCTCATCAAACCGTTGAGAGATCTGCATCAAAGTAAAATCTTACCAAACTATTGCAGGATTTTACTAATTATTTTTTAAATAAAATATATTAATGAACCCGATGACAAAACCTCTTTAGAGTGAGACATTAGTCTCTATGAATACTTCTGAGGTAAAAAAAATTATCTTAAATTACTAGCAAACTATTAGAATAATTTTAGGATCAATTTCTAATAATTAAATTACTTAGTAAAATTATAAGAATATTTCAAGACTTAGATAATTTGAAATCAAACTAGTACCATCCTTTAGATGAGAACTATGAAGGTGTTATAACTTTCATCATATGTAATTATACTCTTGAACTTAAAATTGAGTTTCGTAGATTTTAAAATCTACTATTTAAAGACACTTAAGTTTATCTTGGGATTCCTCTTTAAATAGAATAAATTCAATCAGGAGATCAATCACGCCTAAACAAAAAATATTTGTGGTGACTTCTTAAGTCTATATCTAGTAATAAGTCTACGAATCTATACGTTATGATAAATATTATTTTAATAATATTTTATTATTAATATTAAGTTAATAATATTTTAATATTATTTAACTAATGTTATTATTTTTATTATTATTTTAATATTATTTCAATATTCAATATTAATTTAATAATTTATTAAAATTTTAATATTAAATTACTAATAGTATCTATGTGATACAAAGAATTGAAAAGAGGTGTGCCAAAACATGAGACATTTTGTATGTGACATTTTGACTAAAAATGAAATTCTTAATTTGACATAGGTAAAAA